GAAATATTTTATAATAATTTCATTGTTAAACTAATCAACTCAAAAAGAAGGAAGGGGCATATACTGCATGATTATTTATCTGTCAATACTGAGGCGGTCTTATGAGTCTGTACTCACTTGTAAAAAGGTAATTAGTGCAACAACATGATAGCTCTTGTGAAGATTTCATGCAAGCTCTTATTCATTTACTTAACAGGAAGGAACTATTACATGATCAAGAAGAGGTGTTATTAAGGAAGAATTTTTTTTGATATACCATTTGTTTTCTCCTTTCATACACTAATCCCCTGCTTTTAGCCCTTGTGTGATAGGATAAGCCCATAGGGCATTTTGAGGGTTTAGAGCTTAGACAAAATATTTGAAACAAGTGAAATTTGAAAAGGGACTTTTTCTAGAGTAGTGGTTCCTCACTGGAATGATTTTGTCCCCACCCCACCCCGATTCTCTGGGATATTTGGCAACTCAGTGGCAGCTCAGCTAGGGCGCAGCGTTACTGGCCCATGTGGGAATTGAACCGGTGGCCCTGTTGCTCAGAGCTCACGCTCTTAAGCTAACTCTTAACCAACTGAGCCACATGGCCAACCCAGAGATGTTTTTGAGTGTCATGACTTGAGAAAGAGAGTGCTGTTAGTATCTATTGGGTAGAGTCCAGGGATGCTGCTAAATATCTTATAATGCAAAAGACAGTTTCTCACAACAAAGAATTATCTGGTTCAAAATGTGAACAGTGCTTAGGTTGGAGGAACCCTTTACTAGAGATATAAATACTTTTCGCTTATGTGGGGGGGTGAAATGGATTGAACGGGTGGAGGATCATAACAGAGAGAGGGATCCCATGCTCTTTCTCTCCCAGAAGAGTGTTGGAAAAGTAGTAAAACCCAAAAAAGAGTTGTGGGATCTGATAACAAGCAATTTNGTGCAATGGTCAACCTTAGTTGCAGGTGGGCATAGCCCACCATCCCATATGGGAATCTAACTGGAAACCTTGTTAGGAGCATGTGCTCTCACCACCTGAGCCATCCTGCCATCTGTTGGCTGCTTAGCAGCAGCTCAGTTTGGGCGCAGCTCACTGGCCCATGTGGGAATCCAACCGGCAACCCTGTTGCACAGCGCTCGCACTCTTAACCAACTAAGCCACTCGGCCAGCCCTAGTTTCTCTTTTTATCCAAGGAAACTATTCATCAGAGTATCTAAGGAGGGCAGCTTCTGTGCTGGTTCTGATCCTTTTCTGAATGTTCCATGCTGCTTCTGTCCTATGCTGTCTTTGCAGGAATGTCTATTCCCTGCTTTCTTTTATTTCCTGGACCATATTATTCATCTCTGATACTACTCTATGGTTATATAATTACTAAAAATCAAACTTCAATTATTAAGTTGTCTTTATTATTCCATATCCTTAGAAAATTTTGCTTTCCTTCAATATGATCTGCAAAATATTGTATAATATTTATTATCTTGGAAAATAGTTGTGTGATTTTGCAGCCCTGTTTCTCTAACCTCAACTCTCTTTGTTTTCTTTGGGGGAGAAGGGCTATGCCCTGGTGAGAATTCTCAACAATATGTGACAATATAAGGAATGCTAGCAGGAAGTGTCAATTCCTAACTTGGAGTACAAGGTGGAAACATCCTCATTTTGCAGGGTTACATCCTTTCCCTGGGTCACCATTAAACATCTTCTCAAAGCATTGCTTAGGGTTGTTACTTTTTGATCTCTTCATACCCCATCAATTTTTATTCCTCAGAAATTGTATCACTTTACTGATAGTGGATAAAAATATGTAATTATCCTTTGACAGTGTTTCTGATCTTATAAAATCATATATGGGACTGAGTAATAATAAGGAGTGACTATTCCTGCAATTTCTCCTTATTAACAAGAGCTTGGATTAAAACCACAATGTGAAGAAGTTTTTTTATATTTTATTACAAAGAACAAAGTGCGTGATGTTGTAGGAAAGCAATAGGAGGAAGAGAAGTACAGAAAAATTGAAGGGTATATGACC